AACCCTTGGATTAGATTTACAATCGTCAGATCTGAACATTCATAAACGCGACGAGACTTCTCAATAATTACAAAATTGCCACCGTGCAATTTAGACCATTAGATCATTAACTTATAAAGTTGATCAATGAACATAAATTGGTCTTACGGGTCTCACGAAAAACCTTTGGTCTCACGTAAACCCAACCCTATATATATATAACACAATTGACATCGTTGATTTTTGTATTTTGTATAAAACGATAAATATATTTACAGAAATCGATAATATATAAAATATCTATATGATAATCCTATATATTATCAAATATAGTTTTTCATTAAAAGTGTATGAATATATTTTTGTTTTAAATTGTAAGATTTTTGAATGTTAAATATTTTATCATCGTCTCTAAAATTGAAATTAAGTATGCAATAAAATCAATCATTATATATTTGTTGGTCATATATATATATATATATATATAGAGAGAGAGAGAGAGAGAGAGAGAGAGTTGGATTCACGTGATATCAAGTATTTTTCGCAAGAACCGTAAGACCAGTTTATGTTCATTGATCAACTTTATAAGCTAATGATCTAAAGTTGCACGGTGACAATTTTGTGATTATTAAGAAGTCTTGTGGCGTTTATGAATATTCAGATTGTCAGATTGTAGATCTAATCTAAGGGTTTAGAATTGGTCTTACGGGTCTCACGAAAAACCCTTGGTCTCACATGATTCCAAGTCTCTCTCTCTCTCTCTCTCTCTCTCTCTATATATATATATATATATATATAGGGTTGGGTTCAAGTGAGACCAAGGGTTTTTCGTGAGACCCGTAAGACCAATTTATGTTCATTGACCAACTTTATAAGCTAATGATCTAACGGTCTAAAGTTGGAAGATGGCAATTTTGTGATTATTGAGAAGTCTCGTGACAATTTTGTGATTATGAATGTTCATATTGTAGATCTAATCTAAGAGTTGAGAATTGGTCTTACGGGTATTACGAAAAAACTTTGGTCTCACATGATACCAAATATATATATAGGGGCTCATTCAAGGGAGAACTGACTAGTTTGTGGAAACCGTGAGATCCAATCTCAACCACAAATCAATAGATAAATTAGGAAATTTTTAATTAAAATTTTAATGCAAGGACATTTTATGTATTTTCTCTCGTCTCTCCTCTCTTCTCTCTCCGTCCCTGTCTTCCGGCCACCGTCCTCCATCCTCCAGTGATACCACATTGTGATATTCAAGCACATATAAGATGCACTGTGATATCATTGTGTTACATATCCGATTGACCGCACAAACGACCACAGTGTGATACCCAATCACATATAAGATGCATTGTGATATCACTGTGGTATCACCGGAAAACGTGGCCGGAGGCCGGGGGACGGAGGATTGGAGACGAAGAGAGGAGAGAAGAGAGAAAATGTCTAAAATGTCTTTGAATTAAAGTTTAATTAAAAATTACCAAAATTATAAATTTTTTAATTTATCTATTGATTTGTGGTTGAGATTGGACCTCACGATTACCACAAACCAATTAGTTCTCATTTGATTAATCTCATATATATATATATATATATATATATAAATTATAGATATATCTTCAATTATATTGGTTCTTATATATATATATATATATATATATATCTATCGTTACTGGTTTATATAAACAACCAAATCAAACGAAATAAATCTAGTATGTAAATTATATACACAGATAAGGTCTCCGAATTAAGGTATCAAGGACCTTACCCTTTTTTTTTCAAGAGATTGAGATGTTTGATAAGATTGACTATTGGTTTGTATAATTATACATATATCAGAACCTTCTTTTGTGTGTGTGTGTATATATATATATATGTATATATATATATATGTATATATATATATATATGTATATATATATATATATATATCTATTTTATATATAAGATTTACCAAGAAAATATAAAAAATTACCGGGTAATTTCTCAGGATGAGTATAACAAATTCCAGTTTCACCTTCAATTGTAGGAATGAAATCATCAATAAGGGGATGAAGTTGATTGGTACCACATCCAACTTTCGCTTTCAAATGCTCAAGAATTTCTTGATCCGTCGGGTCGAACTTCACTCCGGCAGGTAACCCTGGCAAATCTTGAAGCAACCCCTGATCCAAAAACCACCTTTATCGTTACAAACACTTCTCTAATTATATAACAAAAAACGCAATCCACGATAATCAATCAATGAAAAGAATTCGAAAAAACTACCGTAGCTTGAAGTTGTATGGTATGTCCACAAGAAGGGCATGAAGTTGTGAACTTGTTCTTGAGATTTCTTGATTGAAAGATAGTTTTTTCTGTAGAGTTTGAAGTTGAGAGTGTTTGGAGGCTACTGCTTTCATCATTACACCATGTCATTTCTGTTGTTTGGCTGATCTCATGCTCAATATTTCCAAATTAGGAAACTTGTGTAGCCTCAAAGTAAAGAAAATGGAAAGAAAAAATCAATACGTTCCCAATAAAGAAAGATATAACAACCAAATGGAGTTGGAGTACATAAGAGTTAAAGACTACCCAAGAATTGAGAAAAAGCAAATTCTTTCTGGTTTCAAGTACAAGATTTGTGAACCCAACTCTAACTTCTTGTGGGTTTGTCGTTGTTCTTCGTCTTTTGCAATTCGAGTCGGCAAAAAAGGCGAGAGACTCGAACCCGATATCGTTTCTTGATGTTGGCAAAGAATAGAATCCTTCTTTACTTTTGAAACCCTAATTTTGCATCAAGAAACACCTCAAAGACTCTTGAGATATATAGAGAGAAAAAGATGGAGACTTTATGGGTCTTTTTTTGTTGATTATTTATTTGGTAAAGAAGAATGAAAATGGGTATTTTGTAGACAAAAGGAATTAAGATTGCTTGGACGCCAAGTTTGAGTCATGTTTAGGTAGATACGCACATAAGTACCAATCTTGATGCAGTGGAGGGTTTCTTTCCTTTTTCCTTTTGTGTTAGAAGGGGTCTTTGCAACTACTTATAACACTGAAATTACCAAACTACACCCCTACCCCGACTCTCTACGTTGCTTAACCCGAAGGTAACTTTGTATGGGTGTATGTTAGCCACTTAACAAGCTTGAAACTCACAGCTTATTCGACCAACTATAAATTATTGTTTGGCAGTGGCTTAATGATATAGAAAGTGTCTTATACATTAAGCTTTATGCAGATAGTTTTATCAATATCAAACTTAATGAAAACCAACCAAGTGAAACCCTAGATAGCGTTTGAGAAAAGAACGGAGGTTCCAACACCAATTTTAACATCGTTTTCGATGGTTAAAGTAAAAAAGAAAAAGATTTACCACAAGAAATAAAACTACCAAGAACTTACAGAAATTAAAAACCCTAATGGGAAAAAAGGAAGATGGATAGAGTGGAGATGAAGCAACAGTAGATAGAGGAAGAAAGAGCTGCAGTGTCAACCTAGAGTA